TGAACCGTAACTTTTCAACGCCATCAGAGCAAACTACCCACAGACTCGAGAATGGTTTGGGTCTTTTCCCCTCGACACCCGACTGCAGGGCGCTGGCCACGTGCCTGCCTTTGCGGGCTCCGGTGAACTCACTCGTACCAATAAGACTTTGTGGCTCTTTTGTTTCATCATTAAATCATCCACATCTGCAGCTCTGCCATATCTGGGCCATGAAGCAAGGGATAGTGCCCCCGACCCCGCTCCTGCCCCATGCAGCGTGTGCGAGGGCTGCGCCACGCTCTGGGACACAGTCTAGGATGGGTGTGTTAATGGGCATCTCTGGCTGAGACCACGTTCAAAGCCACCTTTGCCTCCACCGTGCCAGGGCAGGGTTGCTTTGCCCAGCTCCTGGGCACACACTTTGGCTCTTACTATGACGGGCATCAGGCGCTTGTGCACAACATCAGTGTTAGCTGCCAAGCACCGATGCAGTGCTGTGCCGTGGAGAGGCATCTGCAGCTCACACTGGTGATGCCCGAGAGTGCAAGGGCAGCGTGGTGATCCCACGCACCCCTCGCCCTCGCAGAGGGCTCGCTCCATCATTTCTGCCGAGCTGTCCTGTGCAGCGTGCACTCGTCGGTGGACAGGCCCATTTGGGCAGAGCCCTGGCCCGGGACTTTCTGTAACCCAGGGACATTTTGTACCCGTTGCAGACGGCGTAAGGTGCGAGGCACTGTCCTGGCCACAGCTCTGGCTCTCGCTCGTGATGGCACGGGGATGCTCATTCCAGTTCACCCAGTGCAAACGCGCCTGCCGATCTGAAGGGCAGCGCCAGCCCTTGGAAAGGCTTTGCTGGCTGGAGGCATTCGCGCATGCTGTGCTCGCGGCGGCTGGGAAAGCAAGTGGCATCTGACTGGGACACGTTCCACTTGACTCGCCCAGCTTAGGTCAAGGCTGCCCGTGTGTGCAGCGGGCGAGGGGGCAGGCCGGCAGAGGAAACACAAGGAGGACATTTCAAAATGACTCTGCTCCCCCACAGCTAAATATAAGCCCCAGTAGGAAGCCTGCTTCTCCCTCGTGCCTCTGCCGCTGAGCTTCCTCAGCCTGGCAGCAGGCCCAGCTGTCTCCACATCGACGATGAAAATACCCTTGCAAATCCCACTCATAAAAATATGTGCTGTATTCCCAAAACATGCCTGAGATAGCTTCCAGAGAGGATGGGGAGCTAAAAACAGACGCATGAGCTCAGAGTCCCATACTCGGGGAACGAGCATTTTCCACTAGCCCCACGGTTCCTCCCTGCCCCACACGCCGGCCTGTGCACCGAAATGGAAACAGCCCGGGAGCAGCGCGGCGCCTGGCTCCGATGCCCCATGCGGGACGCCAGCCCGCGGGAGAAGTGGCCTCACCTCTGCAAACCCCAGCCGTGGGGTGTGCCGGGGGAGCCGGTGCAGCGGAGCCTGGCGGGTAGCGGGAGGCCGGACACCTGTTCCTACCAACAAAGCCCCCTTTGTGGAGGTAACCCGATCCCCTGGGAGCCCTGCGCGCCGGGCAAAGGTCTGGGCCCAAGTCTAAAGGAGCCATGAGAAGGGTGGGACGACCTCTAGCAAATGCTGCCCGGAGCGGGGAGGGGTGAGGGGCTTGTGCAGCCTTTTCAGCGCCCGTCAGCGTCCTGATCCTGAGCACCCAGACTCCCAAGGTGGTTTTAGGGGCAGGTGGTTTTAGTGGCGATGCTGCCCGGGGACAGGGAGCAGCACTGTGCCTGGCGAATAGGCCCCCTCCTGCTCACCCCAGAGGTGGCTGCATTGCAGGGCTGGGAAAACACCTCCCTGCACAATGCAAGTTGCAGGCACGGGGCTTGGAAGTGGCCTGCAGTTTCTCAGCGTCAAGTGGCCACGCTGGATCACAGGACTGACAACCAGGTTTGGAGGGGATAGACTTAGCCAGTCCTGCCCTTGCTGTGCATGCACCGCATCACCCAACCCCTGTCTTCACTGGGTAATAACCGCCTTGGAAGAAGCTGGGGATTTTGCCCCCAATTTCTCCCATGGGAAGGCTGTTGCCGGACCCCCTGATTTCTCTCTGGAGAGCAAATTTGCTGGAGGGGAGAAAAACCAGCGAGGAGGATGGGTCTTTTCAGCCCAGAACCGTCACCGAGGCGGGGCCCTTGGGTGCCTGTACAACGCCACCGCCCAGCGAGCGGGTTTGCCGGGACACGAAGTGCATGGTTTCCTGGAGGAGGATGGCACTTCTCAAGGTGTTCCTGGATGCTCTCAACTCTGCTTTATTTGGCAGGGCCAACGCTATCCCGGCTCCTTGGACAATTACTCCCGGAATCTCATTTAGCACTGGGATGGATGGCAGTATTCAAAGTTAACCACCCCACTTGCATTGCCTTATATGTCAGCAAGTGCTACTTAATGATCTGTGAATGGAGGGAATGCTGGGAGCGGGCCGGGCCGCGGGTGAAATATCTATCCGGAGTCTATAAATAATGCAGCCTCCTCCTGCTCAGCAAGTGCAGGGCTCCATGGGAGGAGCAGCTCCCTGCTAGGGCTGGAAGAGTCTGCAAGTGATTTGGGAATGAAACAAAGGCGATGAAATGCAGAAGGGGAAACCTTTCCCCTTCTGAAATACCTCACGGACACATGTCAGATGCTTTGGCCAGACCCTCCGCACATGTGCGTTGATGCAGGTCTCCAGGGGCCGTGCAGACGTGGCTCCTGGGGTGATCAGGGAGCTGAGGATGGTGAATGGCCCCATGGTAGCAAAGCTTGCCAGCTCCCCTGCTCTTGCTGGGTTTGTCACACATTTACCGGCACGCTGCGGCTGGTCGGTCCAGGGCGTTCTCGCGAGCATCGGGTTCAATTAGCGAGGGAGCAGACGCGGTCTCCTGATGGCGTCAATCCCTGCTCGCTATCGCTGCTGCCAGCGAACACGTCTTGAACATGGTGGGTTCATGGCTCTCTCTCCTTTTGCCTGTAGAAGCAAAGGACCCAGCACTGGAAAAATAAACGGGGGGTTTCCTGCTATCAGCTATAAGAGGCTCTCGGGACACGTGGCTGGGTGTGCTGGCCTGCCCAGAGTGGCACGGCTCCTTGCAAGGACCAGGCACATTATGGATGCATTGGCACTGGGCATGGTTTTGGTGCTGTGCGGACACGGTCACACATCCTGCTCAAAGGCAGGCGAGCGCCTGGATGCTGCTGTGCCAAAGGGGCTGAGTGACACGACTGCTGAGCTCCATTCCCCCCCGGTGATTTTCGGCACAAGCCAAATGTCCTTCCCTGTAGCCTATTTTCTACCTGCCACGGAGCGAGGCGTTCCCACGCGTGGCTCCCAAGCAGCTGTGTTGTTCCAGGCAGCGCCTGGCTTGCAGCAGGCAGCCGGGGAGATTGCAGTGGGTTGGAAATGCCCGGGCACCGGAGGGTTAACCCGTGTGATTAATTAGGGGCTGTGTGCCTGTCATACACAAATATTCTGTCAGGGCTTTGCATCTCCTGTAAAATTTACGGGGCGCAGAGCCCACGATGACATCTGTATAATTAATAACGGCGGCGCAGGAATAAGCTCGTGTTGCATCGACGCTGCAATGATTGGGGAAAAAAGAAAAGCCCATCTCCAGCGCGGCCCTAATGTTATCTGCCACGGAGCAGGTGGCGCAGCCCCGGCACAGGGGCTGGCTGCCTGGGCCGTGCCTGGCTTGTATTTTTCACACCCGGTTCCCAGGCGGTGACAAGCCCTCGCTAAGTGAGGTAATAGCCAATTGATTTTGTTCCGTTTTGCAGTGGGCAGCAATAAATCACACGGCTTGTCAGGGGGGGTTTCATGTTTGTGGTGAGAGTGTGCCAGCAATTAACCAGCAGAAAGCTCTGGTGGCTACGCTCGCGAAGACGGGCCGCAGCCGGAGACCCGGGCGCGAGGGGCCGTCCTCGCCACCATAGAGTGGTTGTGACAAGAGATTTAAGGGGACTTTTTTTTTCCCCCAGGCACTGCAATGGACAGACAAGCAATTGATGGATGAGCCCGGGGCCCAGCCACACGCTCCGTGAAACAGCCGCCTGCAAAGGGACACCAGGGCAGGGGACCTGGGGAAGGCAGCGCAGAGCCAGCCCCTTTCCCCCTGGCTGGGCCTGGCTGGGAGTGCGGGACGGGCTGCGCTCCCTACGGCACTGCAGCTCAGCGCCTCCCGAGGCTCACAGCCGGACCCTGCCTTCTGGGGGGCTGGGTCACTCGTGTACACACGTGCACATGCACATATGTACACATGCACACAGGTACACGTGCACACGCACACACAGGCAGGCAAGGTTCTTTGGGTAGATGTGATATCTTTTATTAGACCAGCTACATAGTTGGAAAAAATGCTCGTTGCAAGCTTTCGGGCACAAACGCCTTCTTCAGGCATCGGGAGACCCATGCAGACACACGGTGTTTCAGCAGCGCCAGGGTGCTCAGACGTGTCCCAAATCTGGCGCTCTGCACCCATGGGGCCGTCTCCTGCTGCAGTAAAGGAGTCTGCGCAGGCTGCCATGTAGCAGCCATGTCCCCCAGCAAGGATGAAGTGCCTGTGCCCACCCCATGCCTGGGCTCCCATGGGGACTCCTTGCAGGGGCAGGGTGGACCGGGGGAAGCCCTGGCAGCTGCCCATCAGCCTGGCCAGGTCTGGGCTCTGGGCTGGCCCTGGGAGGAGACTGCGTGGCTTGACTGGACCAAGATTTAATTGCAATTAAGTCAGCTCCCATCACCTTCTCACAGACAGCAGCCGCCAGCGCGTCGCAGGCGCAGAGTCCACGGCCGGTGACCGGCAGGCGCTGCTGGGGGAGGTTGGGATGCCTGAGCTCGGGGGCTGGGGAGAAACGTGGCTGGACTAGTGGACGGCTGCAGAGGAGCCCCTGACCGGCCCCATGAGCATGGTCGGAAGGGCAAGCCGGGCTGTCTTGAGACTAGCCAGCTTGACCAAGTCACCCAAGCAATTCCCCGTCTGCCCGAAGTCCGGCTCTGGCCGAGCAGCGTGGCGCTGCCGGGCAGGGTGGCACGGGGAGGCCTTCACAGCCAGCGCGCCATCTCTGATGGCTCCCAGATGGCAATCGCTGCTTTATCCCCCTGCAACCTGTGTGACTCTGGGAGGGCAGCGAGAAGAAGGTGGGGCGAGGTGGGGGAGGCAGGGTCGGTCCCCGGGGAATGGTGGCGATTTCCAAGCCAGGCCCTTTGCAGCACTCATTTGCTTTGGAAATAAGCAGCAGTTGCTTTGCATTCAGGGCTAACGGCAGCCGGCCCTGGGAGGGGCGCGGGGGGCAAATCGATCTCCCCAGACGGAGGAAGCTATCACGGGGCGGCTGTCCCTGCTGCGCTGTGTCAGGCCGGGCGCAACTCTTGCTCCGCGCGGTCCTGCTCGATGCTGCAGCGAGGCTTTTCCTGCGACCTTGCTCCTTGGTGCTCTGGTGCAAATAAGTCATCCTCAGGGAAGAGAAGAGGCAAGCAAGGAGAGGAGGAAGGAGGGGTCCGAGCAGACGCGCCCCGCGGCCTGTGTGTCACTATCGGTTGCGTCACCGCCCCGCTGCCTCGGAGCAGGCTCGCTCTGCCCCGGGGACGCAATAGCTGCCAGTTTCTGGGGACGTTTCTGAAGATGACATGCAAAAGGGCAGATAATGAATAAAAGCTCAGCTTCTAGGAGGTGGCTTGGATGCGAGCATCTGAACCCTCCTGCATTGCTATCCTGCCCTGGTCTAACTGAGGTCACAAGCAGGACACCCAGTGTCTCCCCAAGCCCAGCCAGGTGCTGGACCCAGGGCTCAGCACCTTGCCTCCACCCAGGAGGGCTGGAAGACACTTTTTCTCCTGACTTGAGATAGAAAAATGCATTTATTGTGCGGTTCCATGGGGCCAGGTCCCCACCTTGGGTGGGGGGATTGCATTGGCTTTCAGGCTCCCGTGCAGGGCTTAGCATCGGAGCAAGCTCCCAGCGCAGCTGCAGCAGGACAGTCGCACCTCACTGGGGCTGTCTGCCACGACCCTCGCCGATTCCCCCGGTAAGTGCCATGGGTGTGGGAGCCCCGCCACCCCGCTCAGCTCGTGGAGCTACTGGCTGGTAAGCAATTCAATATAATTGTATCGTCTACGCGATTTTTAAGGATTCCAGTAGAGTTTTGTCCTTTGAGGTTGAAAACAACAACCGGAGCTGCTTTGCCCACTTCAAAGTCTGCGCAGAGCCAAACTTTTGTGAGGACATTATGTAGCGCACCTTGATCTCATCTTTTATCCCACTAGGTGCTACGTCTTGCTGTACACTTGCCAGCTGCGAGTTAAGTATAATTGCCATTTCCTAACCCGCTTGGAAACAACAGCAGTGGGTTGATAAGAACAACTTTCCTTTTATTTATGAATCAATTTGAGGGCTGGCTTCAAGGGAAGACAATTATTAGGGTATTCAGGAACATCTACACGTGCACTTTAATGTGCATTAGCCTATTTTAACGCACATTAAGGTGTCACTAACTAAAGAGCACGGTGTTTAAGTGTCACTTAATGCACATTAGCTTATTTTAATGCGCATTGACTAAATAGCATGGTTTTTAATGAGCATCAAAGCAGGCGAATGTGCATTTTCCTAGTATCTCACAATGGAGGCACTAGATTTAATGCGTATTAACTAAAGCGCGTTCATGCATGTGTAGACACGTCCTCGTGCCTCACTCCAGCTGCAGTTTGCATTTTCAGTGGAAAATGGTCTCCGTGTCCGTGGTCCGAATGGGGCACACCGCTCGGGAACACCTACTCCTCAACGTTACGTCCTATCCTGTCTGTGCAGAGCGGCCCCGCCATGCTGCTGCCCCGGCCCAGGGCTCTCCTCCCCGCTCTGGCAGAGCCCTGGCTGCACTTGCCTCTCCCCTGGGGCTGAGTCCTGATGCGATGGGCCTGCCCCCGTGTCAGGATCCTGCTGGGGAAGGGGCCTTGCCATCGGACGGTGCTGCCCCGGGACTCCCTCCGCAAGCACGAGGTCTGCGCGTATCCCAGACAGGAGCGGGGCAGCTTCACGGTAAAGCCGCTGCGATTTCACGGCTTTGTTATGGGTTAAAATTCCAGACTTGGCGTTTTTGTCACGGGGCTTTGGCCTGTTACAGCCACAGATAGACTCCATATCCCTGAGCACGCAGCCCTGGATGGTGCTCTCTCCCGCCCAGCGCTGAACTGGGCCAATCCCGCTGTCCCCAGTGGGATAACTGGGGTTCAGCAAGGCTCGGGGCTCTGACCCAAGCACCCCCATCTCCCCAGATGGCTATGGGGAGTCTGACACTTGGAAAGTCCCCTGTTAGCATTGAGCTCTGAAGCTGGGGGTGGTGGAGACTTGTGCACTACTTCAGCACGAACCGGCTTCACCCCACACGGTCGTGCAGTCCCGACTGGTGGCATGGCCCGACGTTTCCCAAAGTCTCTCCCTTCCCATCCATACCTCCCTTCGTTTGCTTCTCCTTCCCTCCTCGAGTTCCTAGCAGGCCGAGTGTCTTTGTTAGGTGATTAATACGGGTTGTGAGCATACAACCGGGAGTTTTATGAGTAGCTGGGAGCTGGGTAGATGCCAGAGGCGGGTAATGCTTTATCTCCTACTTCTATAATCCTTCTTCTTGCAAACTTCAAGGTAAAAAAGAAAAGTCTCTGTATCCACTTGGAGTCTATTTACTGCCGCTGTGTGAGACTGATCAGGGGTGACACCCCCCACACAAGCCCAGGCCATGCCTCGCGCGGCAGCAAGTCACCCAGAAACCCCCCGGGAAAGGGCAGGGGAGGAAATCGCCCTTTGGAGCAACCGTGAACCCGGCTGTGATTGAAAGTGTCTGCAGAGCTGGGGACGGAGAGGACTCCGCGTGAGCTGTGCTCGGGTGGGGAAGACTTGGTGATGAGCTTGGCAGGTCTTTATTTCCCCCAAAGGCTGCCTCTTTGTTGGGTTGTTTCGCGAACAGCTAATTGATGGCACACTAAAACAACGCGAGGCTTTCCCGCCTCGATGGCAGCATCCCTTCCCGTGGCATTAATCGTCAATAAAAGTTAAATGCCGGTGCCAGAGGAGACGGGGTGGCACGGTACCGCGGCTCCGACGTGCTGCACAAATCCGCCACGCCGCTCGCTGGCTTCGAGCACACTGAGCTCATTAAGCCCCACTACTGTGATAACACTCACTTTAATACACATCCTCGCAGTGTGCAGTAGATTGTAGACAAGGAGCCAATTCAGGAGCAGGAGGTATCTGCAAACACATACTGCTGTCTTCAGGCCTTCTGCATCCAATACCCCTAGCAAAAGAGGAAACACTATAAATATTCAGCCCCCTCTTATTATTTTTCATCAGGGTGAGCTGCTTTTTTTTTTTTTTTTTGCTGTAAACTTGGCAATTAGCTGTCTGTGAAAATCATTCCCTATATTTTATATCCCATCAGTAGTCCTAGCAGACAGGTTTATGTTGTATTAATAACTAGTGGTGGGTGAAAGGAAGTTTGTCTTTGTCAACATATCAGTCGATGTCAACACTTGCACGGCAGAGTCCCCCACTGCTAGTAACGTGCACGGGAAGGGCATTTCGCTCTGGCGAGACAGAGCTCCCAGCTCCTGGACTGAGTTTAAAAGCAGAGTCATTTCTAGCAGGCAAAGATAAAACCCAGCCTGGGCAGCCGGCCACAGCTTTCCTGTATGGTCTGCTTGCTCGGTGACCAACGGGTACGCGCAGTGCGGCTGTCAGGACCGCTGCGGTGGCACCGGGCGAGGGGTTCGCCGGCCAGCGGGTTCGTCTATTGCTCGGAGAGCTGGGGAGAGGCAATTCCCAGTGCCGCGGGTCAGGTGAAGGATGGTAACCACAGTCATTAGTGGCGGTTCCTCACTACGGCGCTCCAGACGAGGAGCTGCTCTTCCCACTCTCCAGCTGCCCTTGGGTGACAGAAGAGGCCGGCGTTGCAGCGTCCCGCAAAGGAGCTGCTAATTGTCTGCAGCAGACGGTCCCTCTCTGGAGTGGGCTGAGTCCCCCTCCCCTGCAGCTGGCTGACACCGCTCCTGGATTTTGGGTGACTTTCTGCCCTCCCACATGCGGCCTTAGCATGGGCAGTGCCCTGCTGGGAGGGAAACCGTCCCGCTGCAGCCTGTAGCCAACCTTTGCTGGTTGGGCAGATAGCAGCGTGGCCTGGTTTCCATCCCCTGGCAGGAGGGGGTTGCTGTGTGCCCGGGACACGTCAGTACTGGTGCACAGGACTTCAAAAGCCACCCGCGGCACAGGGGGCTGGGCACTGCTGAAAGGGGGAAGCCCGCAACTCCAGCGCTGCCGGTGGAGTGTGCTTTGCCAGTTCTGCACTATCGCATCAAGAACGTATTTAAAGAGCTCTTCTCATCTAGAATGAGCCTGAAATAATTGCAGGCACAGCACACGTCCGTAGACGTGCACGTACACCCGCATCGGTGTGCCTCGGGCTTTGTGGGTGAGCCTCTATTTCTCTTTTATGCTAGGATATATTATATGGTATATCTTATATGGTATATCTATATTATCTATATTACGTAGTCTATCTATATTATACGGTATATATTGTATGGTTTATCTATCTATCTATGTATATACACAAAGGGGTGTCTCTCCACCTCTGGTTGTGTGGTCAAGTGTTGGACTGAACACAACATTCGTTGTGCACCATCCACACCGCACTGCACAAAGCTGAGGATAACTCCTCTAGTTTAAATCCAGGGGGGGTCCGTGTTGCTTTCCTTCATGGCATGTTGATTTAAAGACCCCCCCCTTCCTCCTCCCACCAGCAATAACTGAAAACTTGCTGCTGCTGGCAGGGCGGTTTGGAGAGGGCTATTTTTGGTGCTTGGATAGCACGAAGGCAGATGACCTTACACAGACCTGTGGAGACCACTTAAGGCAGCATGGGCTTGCCCAGGCTGGTATCTGACCCGAAAATTGGGGTGAACCTGCTGGCAAAGAGGGCATTGCTGCATGCGACAGGACTGCTAAAAGCAGACACCTGCAGCGATTCTGGTGCATGCGTCGTATTTTGCCCCGAATGCAGAGAAGGGAGTTACTCTCTCGGGGCAGGCTCCCAGTCCCTCTGGAAGAGCATGAGCTAGTGTTCGAGTCTCTTAGGAGAGGGTGCTAAGTTAGGACAGAGCTTGCAAATGAGAGCTGCTTGGCTGCGGGGAGCTGGTGAAAGGCAGCGCTCACAATCCTTTGAGCCACGTTTGTGAATCATCACCGCACATGGCTTGTTGCTATAAAAAGAAACCAAGGACAGATTTGAGATGGTGGCCGTCTCCTCCCCAGCCGAACGCCCGCATGGTTCTCCAAACACCTGCTGCGTGGGGGAACGGGGCCCGGCCCTGCCCATTACAGGGCTGCTGGAGGCTCGGCCTGGTTTCAGAAGACCAAAAGGCACCAGTATAAGAGGGGGGCACAAACCATCCCAGGGAGCGGGTACCTGTGCAGAGGTGCATGACCATGATAAGGTACTGCACTGCCCACAGCTGATGCGCTTGCCCCTCCGCACGTTCTGCGTGAAATCGGGCTGCACCAGGGCATGGGGCTGCCTGGTTTTTTGCCTGGCACTTGCTAACGGAGTCATGGCTACAGGATGCAGCGCAAGGCAGGGGCTATGTGAGCACAGCATAAGTACTGTGGGGAGCGGTGCAGGGCTCTACAGCACGGGCAGCCTTTTGGGGCTCGCCCAGGTGTGTCCAGGTCCATAGTGTCCTGCTGGATTAGCCAGGCCAGAGGCCCCTGGGGAGACAGGCATTGCAAACCCCCTCCCCTGGGGAGTGGGTGCATTGTGCATCCTCCAGCCTCCCTCTTGCAGCACCCTGCCTGGCACACCCACTCAGCCGCCCTGCCCTCTGCAGGCTGCCCCTGCTCCCTTTTATACTGCTGCTGTGGGTGGGGCTGCCTCCTGATTGGTCAGCAGGGAGCAGGGCTGCTGCAGGGCCCTAGATTCCCCATTAACCCTTCCCCTGCTGCACCGGTTTGTAGAGCCCGTCCCATAGGCACACTGAGTTCATGCACGAGAACAGCAGCATTCGGGAGGGCTGCGGAGCTCCTAGAAGGAGCTTTGCCCTCTGTCTTTGCCCAGCTGCTTGTGCAGGGGCTGCCTCCCTGGCAGGACAAGGGGCCTGGGCAGCTACTTCTCCAGGACACCTTTGCAAATGCATAGCAGTCCTGCCCGTGCCTCCTGCCCTGTGTCCTGGGGGTGCACCTGGAGTGGCCCTGGGTGCGGGGCCCCATTCTGCATCCTGTGACTCACAGGCGTTGCTCTCAGCCTTGTAATGTGCTGATGCAGCGCTGGGGACCCCAGCCCCGCTCAGGATTGGGCTGCAGGGAAGGGGCTCTATGACTCCCAACCCTGCCCCGATGAACTTTGTGGCTGACCCGAGGCGGTGCTATGCTTGCAGGCTGGCCATGCAGAGCTATGCCTGGCCGAGGCCGTTGGGACTTAGGCCGGGCACGACGCTGGAGGCTGATGTACGCCTGCTCCCCGCAGCAGGCCTGTTCCTCTGCAGAGGTTTGGGAGCAGGAGATGCTGCACAGACAGCAGGTTTGGTCTAAATGGAGCCGTGCTCCAGGGACGGTGCCCGCCCCGCACCCTCCACAGCAGAGGCTCGTTCTGGCTGCAGAGGCGAAGCCCCGCGAGCCAGGTCTGAATCCTCATGGCTGCGACACCATGCGCTCACGTGCCCATCTGGAGGAGCTGCCCCAGAGCCCGAGCCTGTGGGACACGCCAGCCCTGTCCCGCGAGGAAGAGGTGACAAACCCGGCCGCGCGGGATGATGAATTGACATCTCAAATGAATTGCGAGTGCTCGTCTCAATGCCGCGACTGGAGATATTAACTGTTCCACCAGTCACAGGAGAAAGAGCAGAGCCCATTACAAAGTGCATTTGTCAAGCAGTCGCTTGCACAGCCATTGTGGTGGCTGAGAAAAGGTCAAGCGACTTTGTTATTGTTAAGTAGAGAGCAGACCGAAACTCCTAATTTCTTACTATGTGTTTAATGTGCCAGTTAAGTAGTGGTAATTGGCAGCAGCTGTGCCTTGGAACCAATGGTTTCTGACTGGAGCAGGACGCCCTAATGTGCTAAATGATGCAACCGGGCTTTCAATAGCCTGTTTTTAGCAAGCAGGAGGCAGCGGAGGGAGAAAGCTGGCCCTGCCCAGGGAGAGGCAAGCGCGGGGGGTAGCCACGGCGTGGAGGTTGCAGACAGGTAGGCAGTGATAAGGAAGCAGCCGCTGAGAAGTGAGTCCACGCTGATTCGAAAATTTAAAAATCAATAGACAAATCAAAATGTAATTTTCATGGGGGCTAATATAGGCCTGCTGATGCACTGCCAGGGATTACCGTGGCCGTCGCTCGTAGCCGCGTGGTTAATACAGAACAAGCAAGGTCAAATCCAAAGGTTCCCGGCCGCAGGCGGTGCTGGGTGCTCCGGGAGGAGCGGGCGCTCGGGAGGCTGTGCCCGCTCCAGATGGGTGCGTGAAGGCTGAGATAGGCGCTTGCCAGGGTGACGGGCGAGTGCTCTTCAAGTCCTGGTGATGCCCGTGGATGCCCCTGAAACTGCCCCCAGGTTGGAGCTGGCTGTGGGGCACCTGGCTCCCTGCTTACGATCAGCACATCCAGGTCCCTTCCTTGGAGCCTCACAAGCAGGGATCGCAGAGCAAAGGGAAGGGAAAAGCTCCTTGTCGTGGCAGGGAGGGAGCGTGGCCCAGCCAGGAGACACCAGGCGTGGGGTCGGGGACCTGGGTGCTCTTCGGGGCACAGGTCTGGGGCCCTCTTGCACCTCCTCCGGTGACCCTGGGCCAAGCCCTCCACGTCACAGGGTCCACCTCCCCGGGCTGGACACAGCTGCAGGAGAGCGTGGACTTCCCTTGCAGGACGGCGGCGTTCTCACGAAGAGAGGCAGCGAAACAGTCGATGGGCCGGCTAGCACGGCAGCCGCTTGCATAGCCTCCGTTTTGTGCCATGCTTCACGTCCTCGTCAGGAACAAGGAGAATTTGGGATGGGCAAGCAGAGACGTCCACGGAGGATGAGCGGCGTGGTGGTGTCCCACAGCTGCGGGGTGCTCTTGGCGGGGGGCACGAGCTCGGACCCCTCGCTCTGCCGTGGCCTGTCCTTCTTGGGCAAGCTCGTTCCACCAGTGCTAACGAAGCGACACCGTAACGTGAAGGCCGTTCCACTGAATGGTGTACATGATAGGGCCCCAGTGCACGCGGGGAGGTCTCACGCTGTCACCCCGCGTGGGAGCGGGTTTCTTTTAGGTGATTTCACCACGTCAGTGATGGGCATTGTCTGCTGGAGGGGCGGTGGGAGCTCCAGGGTGCAGTGCAGAGATGCCACACCGATGGTTATGTCCTGTCTGCAAAGGCCCATCGGAGGACGGTGAAAAGGGAATATCCAATAATACTAATGCATGTATTAATTAAAGCTCTGACACAGCTGCGCGCTGAGCTGAAAAACAAGTGACTTGATGAGCCTCGTGCTCCCAGGTACAAAGCACTTGGTGGTATAAAGCGGCTCTTCCAGCTGCAACGGGCCCAGTTGGGGCTGTCCCTTGCCCCACAAGCAGCCACAATGGCACCCAATTGCCCGGGGATGCCCACGAGCAAGTTCATTTCCAGGGCTGTGCCGAGCCAGGCTCTGTCGCGCAGGTCAGCGGCACTCGCCGATCAATCGCAGACCTGGAAAGAGGATTGAACGGCTATGCAAAAAATCAATGGGGCAGTTAATCACGCTGGAATATGTGCCGGGAGGTCATTCGGTGTTGGAATTGACCCGGCTGCGAGCGGGGCAGGGGGCGAAGGGGACCCTCGGCGCGGGGTAATCACGACGACGATGTACTTGTCTGACGTCCCGTTTTGTGGCAGGTTCTCTTGGCCGGCTGTGGGGTTGAAGCATCCTCCTTCCCAGACCAGTCAAGTGACGGGAATTTGGGCAGGTTTAATGCAGGCCCAGCAAGATGGGCTGCTTCCTCCTCTCGCCGGCCCTTGTGTGGAAACAGTGCTCAGGCATCCCGAGCAAGAGGTTGACTGCTGTGGTTATAACCACCCAGCGCTCTGCTCCTACGTCTTTACAGAGGAAGAAACAAGCAGTGGTGACATTTCCAGTGATTACTCCCATTACCTTATTTTCCCAGCAGCGGAACAATGCTTAGGATGTATGTTTGCAGTTAATTAGTGGGTCTTGCAAAGTTCATCAATAATAGATCTGGTGGCGCAGCTGATTGCTCACTCACCGCGGGTGGGCAAGGGGTGGTAAATCAGTCTGATTGATTGTTGACCACTCTAGTTTTTCCAGCAGTAATTTAAAGCAATTAAAACGCCTCCCTCAGAAATTAACAAGGTAAATAATGCACCAGTTTAGCAACACGCCGCACAAAGTTTCTGCTGCAAAGCGAGGGAGCTGTGGGTGAGCAGGCACAAGGCAATGATTTCCGAGCCACTGGCTCTGCTCCTAATTGTTGCTGGGTGAAAGCGAGATGGCTGCTGCCTTGCCGGGAGCTGCCAGTTGCGCCTCGCTGCTGCTCAATATGTTTATTACCTCCCGCCGCGCTCCAAGTGCCTTCCGCCCCCGGGACCACGACAGGGAGAGAGGAGCAGGCGCCCCGGCACAGCTGGCACCTCCCTGG